AATGTCTGGTGGAAGGAGAGGGAAGTCCAGTTTATAGCCCAGAGATGATGGAGCCCGGGCGGCCACGGGAGGGTTCTGGAAGCCACACATGTCCCGGACACATGGTCTACCAAGTGTACCGGTTAATAATGCAGATTTTCCCCAATAGACGGAGTCACACGTACGTTGATCTAGATGCGATTTGATATGTACGCTATTTGGTTGTATTGCTCCTTCAGATTCCCACTTGTTCTGATCATTGGCACACGCACTTTCTGAGCGGCACTTCAAAATGTACGAAGAAGTGGAATATTGGGGCTCTGAATGGTCTGCCTCAAAACAAGAAAAGTTCTATTGGGACGGTCTCCACAAATCACTTGAAAGATGGGGAATGTATAGCTAGCGATGGACATGACTCTGAATAAAGCACTTTTGATGTTTCTCTTGAAATTATCGTGTTTTCTTTGATTACAAAATCCTCATTTTTAACCAGATAACAGCTAATCCGCATTTTTAACCGGTGTCCACATTTTTAACCGGGTCCCCACCCGGGGCCAGCTTCTAGGACTATAATCTCCCGGGTTCTCGAGCCCCATTGTAGGTTCCCAAAAGACAGGTCAGTTCAGAGTCATGCACATGACTTATTCTTAGAATCATATTCTTGATTTTATTTATTATTATTATTTTTAATATTTTTATTGATTTCAGAGAGGAAGGGAGGAGAGAGCGATAGAAACATCAATGATGAGAGAGAATCATGGATCGGCTGCCTCCCGCACTCCCCACACTGGGGATCGAACCGCAACCCGGGCCTGTGCCCTGACCAGGAATCGAACTGTGCCTTCCTGGTTCATAGGTCAGTTCTCAACTGAGCCACGCTGGCCATATTCTTAACCTTAGACTAGTGGCCCATCTGCTATCCATGGCTACTATGACATTCATGTTTGTGGTGGGGTCAGTGGTGGGCTGGCATCTGAGGGGTTGAAAGGGAGCAAAGCTGGCCCCTAACTCCACCGGCCTTGACCACAGCTGGGACCCAGATGGGAGAGGTGGCCCCCAGGAGAGAGTCCAGGTGACTGGCCAGGGTCCAGGAACTGAGGGTTCTGTAGTGACTGTAACAGTGAAGGGCCAAGGGTCAGGGCACATAGCAGTGATGACACAGGGGCAGGGGGAAGGGGGCCTAAAGGAGGAGGAACGCTCTAGACTGGGAGGATGGAGAATTTCTGGAAGGAGGGAGCCATGGAAGGCATGTGAATGAGGATTTTGGGGGAAGGGAGCTCAGGCACTACCCTGGTTTACATGGGGGCCAAGGGGAGTGGGCCTTGGGGGTGGACATGGTCCACAGGAAAAAAGCAAGTTTAGGGCAGGCGTGAGAAGTGTGCTCTCCTGGGTTCTGCAGCCCCTGCCCCTTGTTCTAGAACATTCTCTGGGCAGCTCTTGGTGAGAGGGAAACCCCTTCAGGGAAACATAAAGACTTTTTCACTGGGTCCTTTCCTACAAGGTCAAAAGGATAGTTTTCACCTTTGAGGATAGTTGAGTTCAAGACCAAAGTCCAGAAACAAAAATGACCAAGAAAATATGACATCTGATTGACAAGAAGGATATTTTATTGAGAGCTGATCAGGTGCAGGGAGAAGAAAGAATGGGTGTGGAGGCAGGGAGATCCTCCTGGGGGTCCTGGAGATCTAGGCCCCAAAGGGTGAGAGGACTTGGGTCCTAGGAGCACTCTGAGGGGGCCACTGTCTTCTCCACGGTCTTCCCGTCGTGCGTGACCTGGCAGCTGTAGGCGCTGGCGGACTTCCAGTCTTGGCTGGACACGCTCAGGTAGCTGCTGGACGCGTACTTGTTATTGCTCTGCTTGGAGGGCTTGGTGGTCTCCACGCCCTGGGTGACGGGGGCGCCATTTGCCTTCCAGGCCACCGTCACGCTGCCCGGGTAGAAGTCACTCATGAGACACACCAGGGTGGCCTTGTTGTTGGCGAGCTCCTCAGTGGATGGCGGGAACAGAGACACGGAGGGTGCAGACTTGGGCTGACCTGTGGGTGCGGGAGGGGCAGGAGGGGAGAGGCTCAGGGTGCATCCTGAAAGCTCCTGACCTTGGTCTTCCTGTGGGCACAGTGTCCTAAGGACCCTGAGGGCAGGGGCCTCTCCTGGTGTGAGAGTCCATGCCATGCAGGGCAGTTTGGGGTGTTCATAGCTCATGTCCCCATTTTCTTGAGAAACCCTGAGGCTGGACACCTGCCATCACCCATCCTTGTGGGCTCCGTTCTGCCCCCCACACATCTGACTGTCACCCTCTGGCTCTGCCTTCTCCTGGTATCTGACTGAGCCTGTCTGTGTCTGTCAGTCTGTTTGTCCCACAAAAGATGCTCTGAGCCCTCTGACCTCCTGCTGGGTCCATCTGTGGACACCTCTGACCTGATCCTCTGTGCCGGGGGCTTTGGAGCATCGGCCAAAGGGCTCAGTTTTCACCCAAATCTATGTCTCCTGCTCCCTGTCTAAACTGGCTGGCAGCATTTTCTGATGAAATAGAAACTTGTCTGTCTGTCGTTGAGTCTCTCTCATTCTACAGTTAATGGCATCCCCACAAATTGGTCGAATCACTAGAGCTTTCATGCCATGGATTCTGCCATTCTTTCTGTGAGAATGTTCTTCCTGCAGAGACCAAAGACCACCTTGTCCTCATACCTGTCCTTCCATGCCCTTCCTCCAGCACCTTCTCTTACCCCCTGTGTCCTTCCTCCTGCAGGCTTCCCTGGTGCAAGTCTGGTCAGGACTCCGCATGGCAGCTCCATGCAGCCCCGGGGAGCCCTGCACCCCAGCAACATTCCTGGCCGCTGTTCATGAGTCCACAGTCCCTGAGACCTGCCCTGAACCTCTGACCTGGGTGTCTCTAGCCTTGACCCTGAGCGACTGGATCTCTCTAAAATTTCCACCCGCTTTCCCCTCGGTACTTCTCTTCCTCTCTTCCCCTTAAGACAGGGGCCACCAGGGACTTGCAGATATAAATCTTGTCCCACAGGAGCCCTTCAGGGGAAGACAGAACAGAGCCAACTAGAATCCAGCATGACCCTCCCAGACAGACAGAAGAATCCACAAGGCATCCTGTCCATTCCTCTGGGGTCAGAGGTGAATGGCTGAGGGTGACCAAGTAGGACAGTAAGAACAGGGATGGGAAGACCTCAGGTCCCCAAGGGCTGGGATCCTGGGTGAAAGCTTGGCCACAGGCTGAGACAAGACCAGAAAAAGAGCAAAAATAGCAAAAAACGGCCCAAATTTTGTAGGGGAGCAGGGAAGGAGGGGGAAGGAGACACTCACCTAGGACGGTCAGCTGGGTCCCTCCGCCGAACACATTACACTGTGACACAGGCTCATACAAAAACCTCTCTCTGGGAGGCCCTGCCCCACCCTTGAGCCCCCCAACCCCTCCCCCTGCAGCTGTGCTGGAGGAAGCCTGGGCCACTGCCCCAGGGGGTGTCTGGTCTGCAAGGGGCACACACACTGTCCCCCCTTTCAGACCAGCAGGTGACAGGATAGGGGACACGGTGCATTGCACGGAGATACCATTCTTGGAAGCAATTCTCCCAAAGGAATTAGGTGTTTGACAGGCTGTTTCCACTCTGCTCCCCTGGGATGTGGGATGAGTATGGCGGACATCTCTGTCATTGTGAGGAAGGTTCCATGGGAACGGGTGGCACGTCTCTCTTATGTCCAAACACCCCTAATCCCTGGGTGAGAGCATGAGGGGAGGGCAGTGTGTATTCCCTCCTCCCCCCACCCCCATTCCAGGGAAAGAAAGGTCTGTGTATAAAGTCTACTGGCAACTTCCTATGTCCCCGACCATCTGATCGAGACCTCTGGCTTATCTTCATCAGGGGCAGCCTAGATTGGGAGAGCACCGGTGATGTCACAGTGGGACTGTAGTCTTTGCCAACCTGCCCTTGAGGGTGAGCTTGGGGGTGTCCCCTGCCTTCGCTCCCAGGGCTGGAGTGGCATGGGGGTGCTGTCACCGGGGAGGCCTGACCTTGTTATAATCCACAGGCCACACTCCCCCTGATCTGAGATTGTCTGACCTGTCCTTACTCGGCTCCTGAATTCCAGTGGATATGCCTTCCCTGGGCCGCACTGGATGCCCATTCTGTGCCGGGATGGTGCCGTTTCTGATCCATCAAGGTCAACTCCCATGTCTACTCCACCTGAGATGCTGACATCACTTGCTCTGTCCTTAAACCAACCCCCAAAACACTCAGGTTGATCTGATTTCAGGGTTTGAGACCTTCATAATGGGGGTCCCAGGCCAATCTAGGGTCATCATGAACCTGAGCATGACCCAAGATCATACAAACAGAAACTGAGCTTCCTTGTGCCTCTTCCTCAGCCCAGGTTCCCAGCACCTTGAGATCCAGGCTCTCTGAGTTGGTAAGGGGTGTGGCATGATTGGGGAATTGTTAGGTTATATGATATTAAACTGTTTCCCTGCTGTATGACTTGTCAGTGTCGTTACTGACCTAACATGCATTGTCAGAGTTTGACAAACGCACCATGGGAGGCACTGTTGAAAGCTTTTCATGATTTTATGGGGAGGAGTCAACCAGAAACCTTCACCCTGGAATGGCTTTCCCATTGGATTCCATGAGGGGAAAGGGATGTTCAATGACTGTTCCCAATGACCATAGCCTTGGCTCCATGATTTCCTTCCCAATATTTCCATCTGTAGCTCACCTTGCCCTCTGGGAACTGTCTCCATTTCTCCCTTATCCCTCCTCAGGACCCCTGGATGCCTCTCACTCAGCCCTTCTACCTTTCCATGTGACAAGGACTGCATCCCAGGGGCTGGTCCCACAGGAGAAGTTCCTGCCCTGGGTCCCAGGTCCAATGGGCACTCAGAGCTCTTTGAGGTCCCTGGTGGGTGAGTGGAGTGGACCTCAGGTAGGTCCATGTCATGTCATTCCTGTCCTGCCCTTTATTACTGACCCTTCAACCCAGAGACCCTCTCCCACACAGAACACACATGCGAAATGTCAGATGAGAAATGACAGGAGTTTATTCAGGAGAAGGGGAAACGGGGAGGGATGGCCACCTGCCCAGTCTGAGGGACCAGGGCAAGAGCCGCAGGGGGACAGTGGGGAGCGGGGGAAGGGAGGGTCTGAGGGAGAAGTGTCCCCAGAAGTGGGGACTCAGGTCCTAGGAGCACTCTGAGGGGGCCACTGTCTTCTCCACGGTCTTCCCATCGTGCGTGACCTGGCAGCTGTAGGCGCTGGCGGACTTCCAGTCTTGGCTGGACACGCTCAGGTAGCTGCTGGCCGCGTACTTGTTGTTGCTCTGCTTGGAGGGCTTGGTGGTCTCCACGCCCTGGGTGACGGGGGTGCCATTTGCCTTCCAGGCCACCGTCACGCTGCCCGGGTAGAAGTCACTCATGAGACACACCAGTGTGGCCTTGTTGTTGGCGAGCTCCTCAGCGGATGGCGGGAACAGAGACACGGAGGGTGCAGACTTGGGCTGACCTGTGGGTGCGGGAGGGGCAGGAGGGGAGAGGCTCAGGGTCCATCCTGAAAGCTGCTGACCTCGGTCTTCCTGTGGGCACCGTGTCCTGAGGACCATGCAGGACCCTGAGGGCAGGGGCCTCTCTGGGTGTGAGATCCATGCCATGCAGGGCAGTTTGGGGTGTCCCTAACTCAAGTCCCCATTTTCCTGAGAAACCCTGAGCCTGGACACCTGCCATCACCGTCCTTGTGGGCCCCGTTCTGCCCCCCACACATCTGACTGTCACCCTCTGGCTCTGCCTTCTCCTGGTATCTGACTGGGCCTTGTCTGTGTCTGTCAGTCTCTTTGTCCCACAAAAGATGCTCTGAGCCCTCTGACCTCCTGCTGGGTCCATCTGTGGACACCTCTGACTGATCCTCTGTGCTGGGGTCTTATGGTCTTTGCCCTCAGGGTTCTGTCCCCACCCCACCCCAAATCTACCTGTCCTGGACTTTCTTTTAAGTGAGTATGAGTTTTTCTGATGAACAAAAAGTCTGTCTGTCTCTCCCTGGGTCTCTCTCATTCTACAGTCAATGGAGTCTCCGCTAATCGGTTATATCACTGGAGACTTTATGCCATAAATTGTATCTTACCTTTTGAGAGGATATTTGTCTTGCAGAGAACAAAGACCACCTAATCTCATACCTGTCCTTCCATGGCCCTTCCTCCAGCACCTTCTCCTCCCCCTGTGTCCTTCCTCCTGCAGGCTTCCCTGGTGTGAGGCTGGTCAGGACTCTGCATGGCAGCTCCATGCAGCCCCGGGAGCCTTGCACCCCAGCACCATTCCTGGCCCCTGTTCTTGAGTCCACAGTCCCTGAGACCTTCCCTGAACCTCAGACCTGGGTTTCTCTAGCCTTGGCCCTGAACTTCTGGGTCATCCTAAAATTTTCACCGGTTTCCCCTCAGTGCTTCTTTTCCTCTCTTCCCCTTAAGACAGGGGCCACCGGTGACTTGCAGATATAAATCTTGTCCCACAGGAGCCCAAAAGGAAAGAGAGAACAGAGCCCAACTAGAGTCCAGCATGACCCTCCCAGACAGACAGAAGAATCCACAAGGCATCCTGTCCTTTCCTCTGAGGTCAGAGGTGAATGGCTGAAGGTGACCAAGTAGGACAGTAAGAACAGGGGTGGGAAGACCTCAGGTCCCCAAGGGCTGGGGTCCTGGGTGAAAGCTTGGCCACAGGCTGAGGCAAGACCAGAAAAAGAGCAAAAGTAGTAGAAAACAGCCCAAACTTTGTAGGGGAGCAGGGAAGGAGGGGGAAGGAGAGACTCACCTAGGACGGTCAGCTGGGTCCCTCCGCCGAACACATAACACAGTGACACAAGCTCATACAAAAACCTCTCTCTGGGAGGCCTTGCCCCACCCTGGAGCCCCCCAACCCCTCCCCCTGCAGCTGTGATGGAGGAAGCCTGGGTCACTGCCCCAGGGGTGTCTGGTCTGCAAGGGGCACACACACTGTCCCCCCTTTCAGACCAGCAGGTGACAGGATAGGGGACACGGTGCATTGGACAGGGAAAGAATTCTTGGAAGCAATTCTCCCAAAGGAATTAGGTGTTTGACAGGCTGTTTCACTCTGCTCCCCTGGGATGTGGGATGAGTTTGGCGGACATCTGTGTCATTGTGCGGGATATTTCATGGGAACGGGTGGCACACCTCTCTTATGGGCAAACACCCCTAATCGCTGGGTGAGAGCATGAGGGGAGGGCAGTGTGTATTCCCCCCCCCCACTTCCAGGGAAAGACAGGTTGGTCCGTGTAGAGTGTCTACTGGCAACTTCCTATGTCCCCTACCATGTGATCAAGACCTCTGGCTTATCCTCCTTAGGGACACCCTAATTTGGGATAGCATTGGTGATGTCACATTGGGACTGTAATGTTTGTCAACCTGCAGTTTAGGGTGAGCTTGGGGGTGTCCCCTGCGATTCTTTCCAGGGGTGGAGTGGTATGGGGGTTCTGTGTCACCGGGGAGACCTGACCTGGCTGTAACCCACAGGCCACGCTCCCCCTGATCTGAGATTGTCTGACCTGCCCTTACTTAGCTCCTGATTTCCGGTGGATATGCCTTCCCTGGGACGGTACTGGATGCCCATTCTGTGCCCAGGACTGTGCCCTTTCTGATCCATCAAGGACAACTCCCATGTCTACTCCACCTGAGATGCTGACCTCACCTGCTCGATCCTTAAACCAACCCCCAAAACTATCAGGTTGATCTGATTTCAGGGTTTGAGATCTTCATGATGGAGGTTCCAAGCCCAAACTAGGGTCACCTTGAGTCTGAGGCTGACCCAAGACGATGAGAACATAAACTGACCTACATTGTGCCTCTTCCTCAGCCCCGGTTCCCAGCACCATGAGATCCAGGCTCCCTGAGTTGGTAAGGGGTGTGAGCATGATTGGGCAATTGTTAGGTTATATGATATTAAACTGTTTCTCTGCTGTGTGACTTGTCAGTGTCTTTGTTGACTTAACATGTATTGTCAAAGTTTGACAAACGCACCATGGGAGGCATTGTTGAAAGCTTTTCATGATTTTAAGGCAAGGAGTCAACCTGGAACCTTCAGCTGGTAATGGCTCTCCCATTGGGCTCCATGATGGGAAAGGGAAGTTCAATGTCTGTTCCCAATGACCATAGCCTTGGTTCCATGATTTCCTTCCCAATATTTCCATCAATAGCCCACCTTGCACTCCTGGTCCCTCTCCAATTCTCCCTGATCCCTCCTCAGGGCTCTTGAATCCCTCTCATTCAGTCCTTGTCCCTTTTCAGGTGACCAGGACTGCGTCCCAGGGGCTGGTTCCACAGAAGTTCCTGCCCTGGGTCGCAGCGCCCATGGGCACTCAGAGCTCATTCAGGTCCCTGGTGGGTGAGTGGAGTGGACCTCAGGTAGGTCCATGTCATGTCATTCCTGTCCTGCCCTTTATTACCGACCCTTCAACCCAGAGACCCTCCCCCACACAGAACACACATGCGAAAGGTCAGATGAGAAATGACAGGAGTTTATTCAGGAGAAGGGGAAACGGGGAGGGATGGCCACCTGCCCAGTCAGAGCGACCAGAGCAGGAGCCGCAGGAGGACAGTGGGGAGCGGGGGAAGGGAGTGTCTGAAGGAGAAGTGTCCCCAGAAGTGGGGACTCAGGTGCTAGGAACACTCTGAGGGGGCCACTGTCTTCTCCACGGTCTTCCCATCGTGCGTGACCTGGCAGCTGTAGGCGCTGGCGGACTTCCAGTCTTGGCTGGACACGCTCAGGTAGCTGCTGGCCGCGTACTTGTTGTTGCTCTGCTTGGAGGGCTTGGTGGTCTCCACGCCCTGGGTGACGGGGGTGCCATTTGCCTTCCAGGCCACCGTCACGCTGCCCGGGTAGAAGTCACTCATGAGACACACCAGTGTGGCCTTGTTGTTGGCGAGCTCCTCAGCGGATGGCGGGAACAGAGACACGGAGGGTGCAGACTTGGGCTGACCTGTGGGTGCGGGAGGGGCAGGAGGGGAGAGGCTCAGGGTCCATCCTGAAAGCTGCTGACCTCGGTCTTCCTGTGGGCACAGTGTCCTGAGGACCATGCAGGACCC